GACGGTGTTCCATTTGGCGAGGTCAAGACCTGCTTGCGGGCGGTAGACGATCTTGAAGTAATCGAGCGGCAGAGGTGGCATCTTGGGCCTGCGTTGTTGCTGCGTTGGTGATGACTTTAGCGTCTGCTCATTGATAGGTGGCTGCTCTGTGGGTTGGTTGGCCGGTGACCTTGGATTGGCGACAGCCTTCTTGTCTTTCTTATTTCTCGTGATCCAAGCGCTTTCTGTTGCAATTGTTCTGCCACTGCCAGCGTCATAGGTCCACAAATTTTCTGTTGTTTTGTTTGCGTCCACTTGGTCAGTTTGCATTGTATTTTCTTCGTCTTGCTGGTTTCTTTGCATTTCGCTTGCTGCGGCTGCGTCTCTGCTCATTCTAAGCTTTTCGCCACGGTGAGCGCGAGCGCTCGTGCCGTGCCGTCAGGAACGCCTGAGCGCGTTGTGCACGCGCCGCGCGGCTTTGCCCAGGAACGAACTTGGCGTTAGGCTTAATACACTGGACGCGCGCTTGTCGGGAATTAAGTCTTATATCTTGAGACAGAATGCACTCACCCAAAAGAAGCAGGTGTCCGCCGATTCCTCGTGTCTTGGCGGCTGAGGATGTGAAACTCTTGGGTTCGTCACTGGCCTTGTTTCGGGTTAAAAAGCACGAAAAGCAGTAGTCCATGCGAGACGCGTCTGGTCTATACGGCCCCCTAGCGGTGGCTTCTTCCTGTAGAGAAACTCAGATTTTACGTTATTACAGAAAACGCGGGAAATGTATAAGTTTGATCTTATAAGTCGTAGCAGTGCCCGACTATGTGGATGTAAACGAAGCAATAAGATGAATAGTGTATTTTTAACAATGCTTTGTGTTCTCAAGTGCTTTTTGGCGACGTCCCCGCATCGCTGATATCCTGAGAGGACGGGACGAGCTTCATTCGATTCCAACATATGATAGTCCCTAGTGCTATCAATAACAAAACACCTTTACCGATCCTTATTACACAGCTTTACGAAATTCACTTAGCAGAGGAAAGCCGCGCTCATCAGCAAAGTTTGGCAATATCACATTGGGCTACCAGCAAGCACGAGAGGAGGCTAGGAGAGAGGGTCTCTCCACCACCCCTAGCACGGCCTAGGCCCACGCCCCAATCAGCTACTTTGAATAAAATTATTCACTCACTCACTCAAAACAAAAGTGAGAACTGGAAACAGATCAAACAATCCGATGTAATACATTTCTGGATAATATGAACTGCCCAGTGATCTGCACCATTTGAAGTTCGTAGAACTGTAGCAACCCCTCTCACCGAACTTCCGCACGTGGCGTTAGCGCTAACTCCAGATTATCGGTACAAGATGTGATCTTGGCTGCATCGATAATTTTTTAGTGTCCTAAAGAGGCCCTGAAACACGTTATTGAGTAACCATGCAATTATTTCACTAAAAAAGTGTATTGCCTCACAAATTCAATGACGAAAAAGTTTCAAGAATCCGCCCAGTGCGAGCGGAGTTACAAAATTTGCCACACGCTGCAATCGCATTCTCTCTTCCCTCGTCCCGACGAAAGCGCTGGACGCTGAGCAGGAAGGGATGGGAGGGGCAAACAAACAAAAAAAAAACGTCACGCGCACCTCATGACCTTGAGCCCTTTTTCTTTTTTTTTCTTCACATACACGGATTTATTAGTGGGATTGCGCACGCACACGTGGACAAGTGACGTCCTCTAGCGGCGATCTCTGTAACAACTGACGCGCCATGTTCAAATTAGCCAATTGCTGATATACGGGTAATCTACGTGTATTTTTTGAGCGTCTTCCATCCATCATTTGTCGAGGGAAGTGAAAGCAGTATTCAGCTGACTTTGATAATTTATTGTGAATTCCCGCCTGCGCGCTGCACATTTGGCTCACGTGTTCTCGGGAGCCTCTACTACCGATCAGCAGCGTTTTCTGACCATGCTCAAAAAGTGTTGCAGGACCCCGTTAATATTTTTGTAGGCGAGAATAACAGCAATAAATAAATTTGTACGCACACACACACACACACACACACACACACATACATACATACGTACGTACGTACGTACGTACGTACGTGCGTGCGTGCGTGCGTGCGTGCGTGCATACATACATGCATACATACATACATACATACATACATACATACATACATACATACATACATACATACATACATACATACATACATACATACATACATACATACATACGTACGTACGTACGTACGTACGTACATACATACATACATACATACATACATACATACATACATACATACATACATACATACATACATACATACATACATACATACATACATACATACATACATACATACATACATACATACATACATACATACATACATACATACATACATACATACATACATACATACATACATACATACATACATACAAAGAGTGTCCCAGCTGACTTCGTTTAAAACTTAAAGAAAACCACTTGACTACTAAGTGGTACTAAAAGAGAAAGGAAGAGAAAAGCGAGCCCCGTAACTGTCTGATTCAGGGAGCGACACCTCAACAGCTTACAAAATATGGGGGTGAGGAGGGATTAAAAAAATAGGATTAAAGGTATATATAGAGAGAAAGATGCGCTAGGCCAGTGAGCGACACACACACACACACACACACACACACACACACACACACACACACACACACACGCACGCACACACACACACACACACATACACACACACACACACACGCACACACGCGCGCACACACACACACGCAAACGATTATATTTCTCCTACGGAAAGCTTTCAGCCATAGTCCGGCCTTCATCAGGTTAGTACAGCACGCAGCACATCGGTTCGGCAGCACTGCGCATGTCATGGTGATGAATGCACGGCACGCACTATACCTCTGCGGAGCCCTCGTTAGAAAGGCACATAATAGTTCTAAAATAATTTATGAGCCTTGATATGTATTCTATAACGTTAAAAGATGCTAAAAGTGTTTGCGCAAAACTTTGCACTCATGTCTAAAAAAACAAGATCTTGGAGCACCCATCACGACGTTGCCCAAGCAAGTGTGGCTGTTCATACTGCACTTATGCAATATATGCGTCTATTTTGTACCCAAATAGAGATGTAATGTCGTGAGCAATATCAGCGGTAACTTGCGAGCACGTGGTGAATACCTTCCAATCCTACATGGGGCTTTTAGCAAGGCTGCTGTCGGAAACAAAGCGGAAAGGGCACCACGGTTCTGCTAAACGTTGGTACTCCCGCGTTGTTAGTATTCATACCATGCAGCGTGATACCGCTGCTGCGCGCGAAATGAAACAAACTGTATAATAAACGCTTATAGACGACTCGCTATAGCTAACATAATCCAGTCCGAAGTACTTCCAATCATTCCCATGCTGCTTGAACGATCTCAGCGCCTGATTGCCCTCTAGTTTTCACAATATGAAGCTCTGCGAGTGATAGAAAACGGTGGCCACGATAGCGTGTTGTCACCGGCTTGCGATGATGAAGAGCAAAACCAACGCCGAACGTGGCCGCCTGCTGTCTTCAGCTCCGTGTGAATTAACAATGTTGTTATGTTCTTCGACGCGTTTTTGGGGTTGTATCACAAAAAAAAATCAAGATTTAGCAAAAGTCATCATCATCATCATCAGCCTGACTACGTCCACTGCAGGACAAAGGCCTCTCCCACGTTCCGCCAGTTAACCCGGTCCTGTGCATGCTGCTGCCAATTTATACCCACACATGCATACGTCAGCAAAAGTAGAATAACGAAAATTAAAAGATAAAAAAGTAATCCCGAGAGCTACAACAGGCGCTGAGATAAGCTCTTATCGGCACGTACGTCTATAGTGTGCGGCAAAATCAGAGGGGTGGAGAAAAGACAATAGATCGCGGATGATTGATGCTTTCTTCAGTTTAAAGCACCATACGAATACCGGTAGAAGTGGGCTTGACTCTCACATTGCATAGAATAGTACTTTTATCATTTATTTTCTGTTCGTGCATGTGCCATTTGAAATTCGTCATGCCTAGGTGAATTCGCGCTGTTATAAACACTCAGCCACTAATGCCACCGCTATTGGCCTCCCGGGCTCCGTCAATATAATTTAAGCTTTCTTGCCGTGAAAGCGTTCAATAGAACGTTGTATGTGGGTTGTGAACAGAATTAAATTGAAATGAACCAATATTGATTCATTGTGCCAAGCCCATCAAGTATCAAGACTATGCTACAGTAAAAACTCATTCATTTGAACTCGAAGGTGACTGTAAACTTGTTCGAATCAGGCTGAATTCAAACTAGAGAGCCCTCACTATAATATAAATGGACATAGCCCCACACAGCATGGTCAGAACGCAAAGCAGTTAATTCTGGACACGTTATCGCCAACTAGGCGTTACTAAATGTTTGTAGCAGGTGATTTCTTAAAGCAAGTCATGCAGCTCTAACAGTAAATAGAGTTAATTGATAAATCAGTGACTCGCCGGAAACAAGCACCGACATGCATTCATATGAGCAGTGAACCTTTATGTGAAATATGTCACACTATTCATGGCAGAGTTAACGCAATTAAAATGAAAGCATTCGGCAATTTTTTGTGTTTGTTTTCTCGTGGCTCCTTGAGCACCACTTGCAGCTTGCCATAAGAGCTCAAGCGCAGCGTGAAAATTCTGCTGAGAAATGCTGCCGTTTCATTGTGTTGCACTGCTATAGTAAGCTAAGTTTAATTCTTTTTTGCAACACGTTGGGTAGACTTTTGCGAGGACCAATGAAAACCAGGGGCTCCCAGTTCGAATGAACCAATGTGAATATCGACGCTTTCCTCCACAGAAATAAACAGGGATGCACCGTAACCAGAGCGTTAGTTTGAATTAACTGCAAGTTCGAATACACCGAGTTCAACGACCTTTTATTGCATTTAATTTTTGTTCGCCTCTTACTGAATACTTGGCTTACTGAATACTTTTCTTGAAAAATCTTTGCAGGTTTACTGCTGGAGCGAAGGTTGTAACAAAGTGGGGACCGTGTCAGCTATGCTTGAGCATCATGAAAAAGACTGCGCTTACCGGACGAGACCCTCAGGGAACCAGAAAGCAAATGCCGAGTGGAGGGAACACTTGCTTAAGGAACACTTTTCAAAGACAGGACCTGAAACGCGCACTCAGAATACGCCGACGAGAAACGGCAACTACGGGGCAACGACAGTTAAAAAGCGTAAACCTTTGCAAGACAATGTGCATGTTTGTTATACTTTTGAAGGTAACAACGATAATGGTAGTATAAAGTTACTTAAGGATAGCAGCACCAATATATCTCAATTGGTAGAACTTTCCTCAGGTGATGGTGAGCCATGTAAAGATATGTGCAGTTTATTACACACACAAGTGAACACCAGTGCCATTTGTGAGCCTGCCCTTTCCACCTTCGGGGATGATTATTCACATATTACTAAAACAAGAAAAGCGCCAAAAGAAGTGCCACGTGCACATTCCCAGAGTGCTTTCAAAAGTAAGCATGTGCAGGACGACGCCGAGGGTATGCAGCCGTCGAACACCAAGCAAGACGTTCACATTGAAACCAGTGGACTAGCCACTCACGCTTACCATGGTGATCACATTGGCCAAAACTTCATATTTCGAGCCGGTCTACGAGCGTCAAGTAGCGCTGGTTGTACGAAGATGGAACACAGCAAATCAAACCTCGTAAGCCAAGGCGTACACATGGAAGCAAATGAAACAACGAGGGAGCCTTCAACCGACATGGTAAGCAACAAAACCGAACCCTGTGGTCGTGAAGACGCCAAAGAGCCTCCCGCAGGAAAAGGGCCGCAAGAATCTGCGTGTCACGAAGGTTCCCTGGAAGCCCGATTCACCAATGAAAAGATGAACTCTCGTGATCACAGTGTATATATCGGGATGGAGTCGGGCAGCGACACCCTTCAAAAAGTGTGCGTTGAAGAGCAAACATGCATTGAAGCTGAAGGCGCTGCACGCGATGGCAACAGCGTACGGCGGGAGGATTCGGTGGTTCAAAGGCTTCCATCTGGCGTCTCTTCGGGCGCTATCTGTCGTGAAGTTACCATCACAAATGATGAAATCATAGCCAACGCTCTTTTGAAAACTTCCAGATCTCTGGAAAGTGAAGAAAATTCAATTTACTTTCTCGAGGACACGGAGGAGGGTCACACTGCAGAAACTGTTCGAAATGCACGTCTGCACAAGAAACACACTCAGGCAATAAACGCAGAAGATATCACGAACAATTGCCGTATGAGAGGGCAGGAAGCGCGACAAAGGGAATCATTGTTAGATGTGGCAACAGCATCTCAGGACAGTAACGTGCGGCAGACTTTGAGGCACAATCTAGTAAAACAAGGTGCGCAGGGCACCTCTGTTGCAGCAGAAATTTGCAGCAGGCCAGCTGGACATGATCCAACACGCTGTTCCTCCAGTGAGATTTCTCTGAGTGGTCCTGTAGAGTGCAAGTCCAGTGACTGTGAGGATAATAGGAGCCCAAAATGCATCGAAGAAGCCTTTGTCCATTGCCACGTAGAGAATGAAGCGGAATCTAGAATTACAGACAGCTTGTGCACACTGAACACAAGTGACCCCTCCAGTTGTCAGGCACCAACTAAAGCTTTCGCGGAAAACGAAGAGCTTGAAGGCAGCCGACTAAGAGAGTCGGAATGTGAGCCTGAAGTTGGCAGCATGTCACTTCAGTCGCTAAAAGAAAAACCGCCGCTTCAACAAGAGTCGAATGCCTGGCTTCGAGATGACCAGAAGAAAAAAGCACTTTCAAGCCCTGTATCACTGGAGCCACACGAACTTTCGTCTGCCGAACAGCATGCCGGCCAGCAAGAGCGAGAAGAGTCAGAACCATCGTTGACGATGTCGGCAAGCTCCACGACTGGCTCCAAGGTGCTCGAGACGACCGCAATGAAGGACATAAGATTTCAAGGACAAGACGTCGTGCACTACGCGACAGGAAAAAATGAAGTCCTCAACACTTCACTTCGCCATTACCAGCGGAGTACGTTTGGAACTCCAAATTATCATGAGGCGTCCTTACACTGCACGGCGGCTCATGAGGCTTGCGAAAGAGTGGCCGTGGATGGAAAAGGCCATTCACACAATGCAGAGATTGCACCCGTAACTGACAATGTGTTTACCGGTGAAATAACTGATGGGATCGGGCATATGATCGGCGCAGCCTTGGAAAGCGTCTCCGCACCTTTTTATTTGTCATACTACAACGACCCACCTGCACACTTTAATTATAGTTACGAAGAACACAATGCTAGCGGGAAACCTAGTTGTGCAGGTGCCACTACTCGCGAAAGAAATAACGCGAATACTCCTCATATAATTCCAATCACACAGCAGCACCAAATCCGAAATTTGGCCTCAGATGGTGATCAAAAGGCCACGGAAACTGGCACTTTGGGCAGTGAAAAGGTCCAATTTTCGAGGTGCTCAACAACAGGAGAGAACCACACAACTGCGCCATTAGATGATATGTCACCAGAAGGCGAAACAGGATGTAAGAAACCTCGATTTGTTAACAGCTTGCTAAATGACCATTGGAGCCTCCAAGGCACATTTATTCAGCCACTTGGTGAATTGTTTCCGCGCAATCTTAGCAAAACAGTGGATGTTAGTTACACCAGAAAGCAGAGCTCAATCGTTAAGCAAAGTGAAAATGCACAGAAAGTGCTGCAGGAGCTGGTCCATAGCTCACGACTGTTCCGCCGAAGTGAGAGGCTCATTTCAGGATCAACTGAGTCCACAGAAAACAAGCAAGTGTTACGCGAAGCAGTACACGAGACACATAACACAGCTGCATCCTCAATGTCTCGCAGTGAGAATCCCATCGTATCAGAATTACCTATGGAAGACACGGAAAAATCAGCCGACTTTGGCCAAAGTGGGGTCTACTGTGAAAGAGCCATAGCAGAAAACACCGACACCAATTGGTGCAATACCGAAGCATCAGTTGAAGAGGCATCAAGTAACGGTGAAACACCCCCTTTGCGTGATAAGCTTGAAGCAAGGACTGATCCTATAGATGTCCTGCTGCATTTAAAAAGTGAATTAGAGGCCACTTTGGCGGCAATAAAGCAATGTATCAAGAAACACCCGGAAAATAATGTTTCTCTGCGTGAACATGGGGAAAAACTCAGAGAATACATCAATAAAGTTGTAGAAGTCTGCAAAGCAATATTGCAGAGCTCCCTCAAGGCCTCCGAGTCCTGCGATTGGTACGTGGAGAACTATGATCAACTAAAAAAGAAGGTTTTACAGTATGACTATTGGACACAGGGAAGGTCCACTCCGCTCTATCTCCAGGGCTACAATATAAAACCCAGTGTCCTTTTTCGTAAGAAGAACGGTTTACTTGAGCTCGGTGCTGAAGTGACTTTGTGCAAGGGTGTGTACGATGACCTTTTAGGGTGGCCTTTTCAAAAGAAGAGCAAGCTTACCCTGCTGCACCCTTCTGACGATAGCAGACACGTTGTCTTCTCAATGGATGGTGACAATGAATTTGGATATATAGGATACTTGAAGCCAAAAGGAATGCACAATCTTCCCGTTCGTGCCAATCAGTACCACTCACTTCAGGAAATTGAAGAGGGTGGCTTTGTTTCCGATAACAAGCTCTATTTTAGGCTCGAGGTCTCGAGAGAGTAATCAAGCCCGAGTGTTTATATCAGCCACCATATCATGTCACATGTTACTCAAAGAATGTGCAATATGGCGCCAAAGTTTGCGGGCAGTTTGATTTGAATGATTTGCCTAAGAATTCATAGAAGAATCTAGTATACATTTTCGTGAAGCATGAAATAAAACTATGGATTATGACGATGATTCTAACGTGATAAAAATAGGATTGATCAATAAATAGAGTCCCTAGGATCAGCGCGAAAAAATTAACACACGAAAACACAAGGATGTGCACGGCACAAGCACTGGCTAAGAACTGAAAGTTTAATGAAGAAAAAAGTGGCATAGATATAGGCATAAAAGAAGGCACTAGAAATCTTATCCACCCTGATCCTGATGAGTATGTTCTCACTAGCCCAACTTACTTTGCTTAAATAAAGATAGAGTGTGTTATCAAGTGTGCAGTGTTATCAGTGTTCATTTTCGGGGTTTCCCGCCGCGTTGCTTCAGCATATGCGATGTTTTTTTAATTGTGCAACTTAGCCTACTTTGGCAAAGAAAACATCGTGATGACGATGGTATGGGAAAAAAAAACTTTTTTCGCCAGTTAAATATTAGGTGCATTTTACTGTGGAACTGTTATCCGTCGAAATTGGTCGGGATTTTTTGTGGCACAGTTTTCAATGAAACTGCCTCCGGTGTTAAGTGTAGACCAATCCCAAAGACATTGTGGTACCGTGCCGACGAACGGTAGATGTGAATCAGCCCAAGTGACGCAGAAGATTGGGTGAACTTTGCCTAAGTGTAACGAATGTCAAGAAGCATTAAACAGCTAATGTAACGTTTGAACGCTTACACTCGTAGCAATAAAAAAAATAAATGTAGAATCTGTAGATTCAATGATGTGCGAAGCATGAATGAGAAAGGTTGAATTGCCACATTAAAATCAGCACAACGTTACAACGTGGACGTAAATTATGTCGTAAATACCTTCCGTGTCATAATTATTATGTTTGCCCCGGTCATTCGTGCTCAGTCGTCCATTCACGTCACGTAATAACAAATGTTGTATATGTGAAGCTAGCAAAACGGCCATGAGCGCGCGATGAGCGTAGCATATAGTCATGAAAATGCTGTCGCCGGATCCTGAAATAACTGAAGAAAAAAGATGACATTTTTTTTTTCATTTGGGAACACGAGGAGCATGCAATACTTTCATTTGTAGCAGCGTTCGACAACGCTCACAATTTCATACCAATCGTTCCCAGACAAAATAGGAGATTTCCTGGACATCTTTATATATTTACGGAACGGCAGTCTAATCATCTACCACGCTTTTCAAGAAGCTTACACACAGGTGCCAATATACGCCCTGCTCATGGTTCACTCGCAGCCGTTTCGCTACCGTCACATATAACAAATTTGGTATTACTGGACGTGAATGGATGAGAAAGGTAAATGACTAGTCTAAACGTGATAATCTTGACATGCATGTCATGTAAAACATGACTACATGCTACGCTCATAGCGCCCACACGGCTGTTTCACTAGCAGCTCCACATATACCAAATTTGGTATCACGTGATGTGTGTAAATGACGAAGGTATATTACACGTTCAAAAATGAGTATCATGACATGAAAGTCGTATGTGGCATAATTTTCATCCACCTCGTAACGTTTTTCTGATTTTAAAGTGACATATCAACCTTTCTCACACGTTCAAACATGAGAATCACAATATGGAAGTCATGTGCGGCATAATTTAAATCCACCTCGTAACGTTGTGCTGATTTTAAAGCGACATATCAACCTTCCTCATTCATACTTCGCGACTATGTGGCTGTGACGAAAAGCAGGGGGTAGCATGGACTTCTTGTGAGTGGTTACTTGGTACAAGGCAATGGCTATATCCTAAATAAAAGTCTAGAAGGAGGTGGTGACGAGACCATCTGCTCAATGTGGCTTTCCAGAGCTCAGTGCGTCCATCGCCCATTCTATTTTAGATGCGAAGGGCCTTATGGTCAAGCTCAGTCCGGTGTGCGGCGTGACCGTTCTTACTGTGCATGAGAGTCCCCTCCCCCTCTTTTTTCTCCTACGCTCCCCCTCTCTCGCCTCGCAAAACCGACGCACGTAGCGTCTGGTGGCCTACTCTCACACACTGTCCCTCTCTTTTAGGCATTCTGTCGCGCAGCGTCAACACCTGCATTGCACATGCGTGCCCCTTATCCTCCTCACCTACGCTTCCCCTCTCTCGATTTGCAATGCTGACGCAGGCAGCGTCTGCTAGCCTACGATCGTTCCCCTTTCTTTCTCTTCTTGGCATTTACACCCCCATTGCGCATGCACGTCCCCTATTCCTCTCTTGCCTCTCCAGTGCTCTCCCTCTCTCGCTTCACAATGCCGACTCAGGCAGCGTCTCCTAGCGAGTTTTTTTTTATTCGAAAAACCGACTGCTCGCACTGCACAACCGTTCGCTGGCCACCCGGGTATATAGGCACTGGATCTCGACCTCCAAGGTAGTGGCGGTGAGAGATTTCTTTTGTGCGTTGTTGAACAACAAAAATTTGCAGCGTATATGTGAACTAAAAGTGAACTTCAGGTCTCTGTGTCCAATCGGAGACTTCTGTCTCTCACTACCCAATAGCAGCGATTGGCTTGTTCCAGTAGGAAACGCCGGTCTATCACTGCGTGCTTTGCGCCTCAGGTATTTTTCCTGTGCCACTCCACCACTGGTGTAAGCGTTAGCGACCACTATTTCCCATCTAGGCATGGTTCCCTTCTGTGGGATATAGTGTTTTTTTTTCTTCCATGATCTGTTCTTCAAATTTTCATGTTACTTCATTTCAAGACATGGCAGCGGCAGTCCGTGCCGTCCGTGTCTTAAAATTGGCCAAATTTGGGCCACCTTGTGTTTCCATAAATTGATAGGCCAATTCAAACATCCCTTCAAGCGACTGAGCTCTCCTCTCTTTGAAATACAGCGACAGGCTCTGGTGGCAACTGGCCAGAAATTGCTCTCTAATAAGAAGCTCTGTAAGCTCATTGTACTGATGTGCTGTGTCAGAAAGTTCGATCTATCTGCCAAAATAATGGTTAAGTCGGGCAGCGTACTGTGCAGCCGTTTCACCATCAGCTGGCTTTCCCGTCTGAAATATGTCTCGGAAGCCTTCCACGGTGAATCTGAATCGCTTCAGTAAAGCAGCTTTCAATTTTACATAGTTATCTGCATCGGTTGGCGTCAGTCTTCCATACACACTAAACGCTTCGCTACTCAAGCATGTGCTCAAAGCAGATACCCATTGATGCTCCGACCAATTCTGGCTCCTGGCAATAGTCTAGAAACTTTGAAGGTACGCATCCAGATTGTCCTTCATTTCGTCAAACGTCACAAGCAGTTTGCTTAGCTTCAAGCGGAAGCCATGATCTTCCCGTTCGGTGCTTTCGACTCTAGCCTGGACCGGAGTTTCACTTCGCTGCTGCTGACGGAGCCGTTCAAATTCTACTTCATGCTACCACTGGCTTTTTTTTTCAGCGATCTCAGCTTCTATTTCTTCCCTCAGTTGTCGCTCCTTCGCCTCTCTTTCTTCTTTCGCCCTCTCAGCTGCCAGTTTTTTTCCTCCATCTCCAGTTTCAATTCCTGTTCTTTTTCTTCTTTCACCCTTTCAGCCGCCAACCTGTCTATTTTCAGTTCAGCAGCTTTTTTCTCCTTTGCCCTTTCACGTTTTTTTCTTTTTTTTGACTAACCGATTTCCGAAGCTCTCCACCGGAAAGACCCTTCTTCTCACCAAGAGCTACCAGCTCCTCCAAATCTGTGGTGCCTCTCAAATAAATCCTTGCCACGTGCACAAAATATCTGCCTAGCACTTGCTATCGTAAACTCTCTACGCACTCGTTATTTAGCGAGAACACCGTGTAACACACAAAGAAAAAAAATTTTCTGATTGCACTATCAATGACTCGAGGTTCTTTCTCCGTACTTTGGACACACTGTGCACAAAAGGGTCCTGTCGCAGACACCAGAATAATTTTCACTTGTCCCGCTAATTAGGGAGGCAGTCGCCGGGCTAATTCTAAGGGCCGACATATCACCCCCATGAACTGCACCACGAAAGCACGGACAATTTACATTTGGTCCCATTTGGCGCGCCAGCGAACGCCGGCCGTGGTCCAAAAAACGAGTCAGAGTTGAGAGTTGATAGCAAACAGAAAATGTATTCTCAAATATGGCAGATAAAACAATACACAAATATGCACACTCAGCAATAGTCCAATACAATGTCACCATTCAAACAATGGGTTGCACGATACAACCAGCTACACTCAAAACAACGGACACAAACAACGTCACGCGGTACAATGCAATCTCATGCATTAACCAACCAAGACCCTTTAAGACAAAAGTTCGTCAAACTTATCCAGTCCAAAGTATTTAGAATAAATCTGGCATGATTCTCTTCCAGGGACTACTCCTCAAAGTCCATCACTGTTGTCGTTCCACTGCCCCCGAAGTTTATCTTCCAGGAAACCTCGCTACGTCAAATGTCCGCACTCCAAGCCCCAAACTTCTTCGCCGGTAACATGTCGGTTTCTCACACGCTGCCTCTGCAGAACACGCCTTCGCCCACAGGCGGTAATCACACACCTTTCTTCTGCTTGTAGCACAAGCCTTCACCCACACGTGGAAATCCTTCTCAACTCAACTGATTTGTCACTCAGTACAAAAGCCTTCGCCCCACGGCGGAAAGACTCTACCCACGCTGGCGCAAACTTCCTTCTTTTCCTGCTCACCACCAGCCGCTGTTCACTTAAATATGTTTCGCCCTGTGTTCCGGAAAATTCGGCGCGTTGCGCAGCCAAAGCTGAGGAAAGGGGGAGACGTTTCTACTCGTTTCGTTGGTGCTTCGCACCGTCAAAGCTCTGGAAAGGGTGGGACCTCTCTTGTAAGGTGACGCAATTCTGCATCACCACGCCTCTTCGAGATTTGTTCAGCGATATTTCGGTGACCGGTGCGAGAAGGTTGGTCGGGGAAGCGGCGCTCCGAGGGGGCGAGACCGGAGGAGTTTTTTATGCTTGTTTTCTTCTTTAACTCTGGCTTCGAGAGCCACAGTCTGGTGCCCCTCGAGCGCTCTTGAGCACTCGTTTGTGACAGAAAGTGGTGGCTATATGCCTGACGTTAACCCGGAAAACAGCGATGTTCTACGGGTTAACCCTGGACACAACTCCCCTGGACACAATTCTGCAATCCGGAGTTGTGTCCAGGGGTGACAACTTGGTTGCCTGCATCACAAGACCAGACACAGTAGTAATGCTAGAATGTCGAGCTTATCCAGGAAGACGTAGGTTTTTTTTTTTTTTTGAACTTGCTCTTTGTTTTGCGTTGAAAGCTCCAAAAGTGAAGTCAGCCAGAGGGTAGTAATACGAAACGGAATGGCTGATTACTTACTTCCTCCTTAAGATATCGAGCTCTTAAAATATCAAGATTCGAAATTTATATCGTCGATATAGGTCTTGACTGTCACCTGAAAGGCTTTTCGTGCAATAGCATCTGTCCAGGCATTGAGAGCTGCAGAGTCAT